TGAGAATAAAGTGACAGCATGTGAAAAAGCACTTGTAAACTATGTATCCCTTTATAAGATACGTGCCCAACAATCAGTAAGAGACCGTAAAAAAGGGAAGACATGTCATTGCTTTTCTGCCTGCTTTAGTGAGGTTTTAAAGTGACAGTTCAAAACATACAAATTTTAACCAGTTTTAAGTGTATAGTCCTATGGCTTTAATTTCATTGTGCAACCATCACCACCATCTATCCCCAGAACTTTATCTTTCCCATCTGAAGCTCCGTGTCCATTAAATACTAACCACCTACCACCTAGCAACTGTCACACTACTCTCTCTGATTCTGACTACGCTGGGTACCTCATATAAATAAATGCATATGATATTTGTCTTTCTGTGATTTGCTTTTTTCACTTAATATAATGTCCTTAAGACTTATCCATGTTTAGCATGTATCAGAATTTCCTTCCTTTTTTGAGGCCTGAAAATACGCCCTTGTATATTTTACATTTTGTTTGTTAGTCTTCCTGTTGAAGGACCCAAGTTTGTTTCCGCCTTTAGGCTGTCGTGAATGACGTTGCCATGACCATGTGTGTTCAGATCTCTGAGTGTTGTTTTTATTTTTGGAGTGTATATACCCAGAGTTAGAATTTCTGGATTGTGTGTTGTGTTTAATTTTCTGAAGAACTCATATTTTTCAATTTTCATTTATTTTTTAAAATTAGCATATATATATATTTTTTAAAGATTTTATTTATTTATTTTTAGAGAGGGAATGGAGGGAGAAAGAGAATGAGAGAGAAACATCAATGTGCGGTTGCTGGGGGCCGTGGCCTGCAACCCAGGCATACATCCTGACTGGGAATCGAACCTTCTATACTTTGGTTCGCAGCCCGAGCTCAATCCACTGAGTTACGCCAGCCAGGGCTTATTTTTTTTAAATAATCACTTTATTGCAACCCAGCCGTGTGCCCTGACCAGGGATGGAACCAATGACCTTCTGCTTTGTGGACTGGCTCCCAGCCAACTGAGCCACACCTGTCAGGGCTGCCCCTTGTATATTTTTTAACATTTGCTAAATATGTTCGTGTCAGAAAATGTGATTTTTTTTTGTTTTGAATGAATTTATGAGAAATTTCAGTTTTTTCTTTTAAGTTCAATTTCTGTTCGTGTATTCTCTGGTTTTAGCTTTCTCTCTTCAAATCCTCTGTAAATGCAGCTCTAGACTCAGATTTCTCATTGCCTTTTCTAAAACACCCAGAGTCACTTTCCTATATACCACTAAGCCAACAGTAGAAACAGTTGTCCCAGTTAGAACAATGATTTCATTTATTCACTCAAATACGGTGTGCCTGGCTTGAAAGTCGTCTTCTTCATGAACCACATGGCACCATTCCCTTGTAAGACAGTTGATTGGGCAGGTTCTGCAGTATGTCTTGGAGGGCCTCAGAATCATTTCCACCCTCTTATTGTAGGCCCTTCTTCTTAGCTGTTGGAGAAAATTGTTTTGATCCTCTCAGTGCTGTGTCTTGGTTTTGGGGGATCTGGCTGCTGCTAGGAGAAGACAACAACCGCTTTAGGGCTGGGAAAGGCAGGGCCAGGCAGCTCCTGATCTGACTGCAGTGTTCATCCAGTGCTGGCCCAGGCTTTCCCAGCAGTCTCAGCACGGCCAGAGGCCCAGACTTGGCGGGGGGGCGGGGGGGTGTTGGTTACAAGGCCCAGGGGCTGAGAGTCAGGCTTTGAACCTTTCCAGCTCTCTGGTCCCATTTTTTCTTACCTGTCACTTCGGGACGATCTTATTCTGAGGTTTTAAGTCTGGTGAAGCATTTGTAGTGAGCTGTGTGGTAAAAGTGGCAGAGTAAGAGGTCTGTGTGTGTCTTTATAATGTAGCTGCATAGGTCCTTTCCCTGCTACTTTCCAGTAATTGGTTCTCAGCTTTAAGTGTTTAGAAACTGAGTTTTTCAGAATATTTGCACACCTCTAATATATTTCACCCAGGCCAGGTCAGACCTGGCACAAGACTGGGTTCCTCATGACATCCCTTCTCTTGCGATGAACCACTTCTGCTTTCCAGTGTTGGTCTATATTTATCATCTTATTTAACTCTTAAAACAACCTCGTAAGTAGGTGATGTGAGTATCACCCTCTCATTTTAGAGATAAGGAGAGTCAGGGCCTTATTAACTCATTCGTGGACTGTGGTAAAATCCTCGAATAGGTCTTCTCGCATCAAGTATTCTTTGCCTTGAAGCCATTTAATAATCTTTCTCAAGCACAAATATAATGGTGGTTCTTTCCTCTTCTATGCTTTGATCCAGTAGCTCTTCCATGTGTTCTTTTTTCTTTTCAAGTTTTTATTGAATTTATTGGGGTGACATTGGTCAATAAAGTTATATAGGCTTCAAGTGTCCAGTTCTGTAATACATCATCTGTAGATTGTATTGTGTGTCCACTCCGTTGTGTTCTGAATAAAGGCCCAGTGCCTTAGTATGGGATTTGAGGTTTTTTGATCCACCTCCTACCCACACATTCAAACATAGGCACTCCTTAGGCCTTAGACACATTATTTATCAATATTCATGTTACTCAAATAATTGTGTGTCTACTTTGTGCTCTGTGGTGGATGGTAAGGATTCTAAGATAAATAGACTGAGTACCTACCCTCAGGAAACTTAACAGTACAGTGTATACACAATTGTACTGCAATATTAGTAGGTAATAGAGGTATAGGGTTATGAGAACTGGGAGTGGGGCATTGACTGGAATGGGAGTTGTTCCTATTTATTTATTCACTGTGTATCTAATACCTTAAATGACCTTTTCATTTCTACTCAGTGCGCTCTTATTCTTGAAGATCTGGATCTAAACTAGGAAGCTAAAACAGCAGTCTTTAAAAAAAATTTTCCTAAGAGATCTCATTCAGGACGCAGACACTGACTGCTGTATTCCCAGGGCCTCACTGCCTAGCGGATGGTAGATGCTCAGAATTGGATGGAAGAGTGAGTGTGTGAATGGGTGGATGGTCAAGCATAAAAAAGTGTCATCCTGCCATCAAGGAACATGTAGTCTAGCTATAAATATTCAGAAAGCACTTTTGCTTTGATTTCATGAGCTATCCTTTCAGCGAAGTCATTTTGTATTTAACATAAAAGATCCTTTTAAGTAACAAAAGTCACACTGTTAGGTGTGTACTCACTTCCCAATTCTGGAATGGAACTATATTTGTCTGCTCCGGAAATTTTTTCTCAAACATTTAGGAGGAAAAAAATTGCAAAGATAACATTGTTTATAAGAGCCTGAATGCCAAGAGTGGTTTTGCAATTTACCAGCTCTGTGACCTTGGTTAAGTAAAGTAAGCCTTCCATGCCTCATTTTCCTAACTTCCCAGTCTCTTCTTGTGTAAAATGCGGATAAACCCTGGCCAGGTAGCCCAGTTGGTTAGAGTGTTATCCCGAAATGCCAAGGATACAGGTTCAGTGCCCAGTCAGGGCACATACAAGAAGCAACCAGTGAAAGCATAACTAGGTGGAACAGCAAATTTATGTTTCTCTCTCTGTGTCTGTCTCTCTCGTAAAAGTAAAATGGCTTAAAAAATGACTTTCTTTAAAAAAATTAGGTGGGAAAGGGGGGATACCAATAGACTGACTTATATCATGGAGAAAATTAAAGGAGTTAATCCATGTAAATGGCTGAAGAATGGCTGGCCCATGGTACTCAACTGATGGGTGTTACGGTAATCACAGTATTGTGATCACAGCATATATGTCTCTCTAGATTTTTATTCCTATGAGAAGCTGATAACAAACATTTACATGCTAGCTGTAAGTTTTACACATCAAATTTAAGCATTTAAATATAAGCCAAAACAATTTGATAATTCTGGAATCTGGGTAATGGAGGTTTGGTAGCTCAGGATACTGTTACTCTCTTTTGTGTATTTTTGAAAATTTTTACGATACATTTTAAAATCAGAAATGTGATGATTTGAAAAAGATGATGCTAAGCAGTCCTGAAGTAAAGAAACCTGTTAGGCTGTATTTAATCCTACATTTTTCAAAAATTTGGGAAGACTCTGGAAATGCTGGTCCAGGGTTTTCTGAGGGGAGAGTTTGTTTTTGTTTTTTAAAAAATTGTCATAGGGTTGTTAATTCCCTGTGTTTCATTCAACATGATCCCCCACCCCAACCCCAGTTAGGTCTGCTATAGTCACTTATTTTAAGGCAGTTACAGTATATCATTGGATTGAGAATGGTGAGACTAGAAGAAGAACTTACCAGCCTTCTAGGGCCATTGCACCCCATGGGCCTTTTCTAGCCCTCTTTCCCTTTCCTTCCTTGTCACCCAAAAATTGGATTTCTTACTGCTTCACTTAGGAGACAGGCAAAGCTTGCCTGTAATGAAAACATCCCTGGAGAGATTAGACCATGATTAACTCTCATTTCCAGCATGTAAAGGCAGCAGATTAGATTAATAAATAAAACATAATACAGGGTTTTGTTTGTCTAAGAAATAAATGAACTTGTTCCCTGAAGTTTTTGAGAAATACAGCTTTAGTACTAAACTACACAGTCAAGGTTACCCCCAGGATTTGGAATTAGGGACACAGGGTGCACTTAACGGTCATATCTGATTCAGAAAAATCCCTCCCACCAACTCTTTCCAAGGCCTTTGTTTCTTTTGGTGTTAGAGCTCCAGTAGGAGATGTGAATGTCACCCAGATCAGTCCATCTTGAAGGGGATTCCCATGGACTAGAAGCTACCAGGAAGAGACACTATCCCTAAGTCCCAAGGACACTTTTATTTCAAGCCACCCCTCCATGACGAGACCCTGGCTGTCCCTGTGTTACTTATGGTGGCAAATGGCCAAAGCATCCTTATCTCAGCCTGTGACTTTGCCTAGTGCTTGCTAGCTCTTCTTGTGTCTCCAGTAGGACTAATGATGTCTTGTAACCCTTGTGACTGCTTTAAATTATCTAATTGTGCTCCTCATAAAATTGAGCTTTCTTTTTTTTTCTTTTAAGGTATTTTTGATGAGATTTAAATCTCTAATGGACCAATGTAAGTGTTTTGTGTTCCTATAAGTCTTACAAAATTCTCAGGTGAAAATGATTCTCGCGTGTGTGTGCGCATGTGCTCACATAATGTGATGACGTGAAGTAAGAGTGAGGACTCAGTTTACTGCCGTGGACACTCTGATTTTCCTTCATCGGGAAGCAAGGCTCCATTCTTCCTCCTTTTGTTTCAACAGCATACTTTGTGCTGCGTTAGTGAGTTTTTCCTGCACTCAGTAGAAATAACAAAGGAAACAAGGAAGTAGTATGGAACTTCAAGAATGAGGAAGGAAGAAAAGGAGAAGAGGACGGCCATAGGAGTGACCCTGGAAACACTTGACCAGCACTCTGCATGTCCACCATTACTTCCAGACTCAGAGCTCATCTTTTAAATATTTTTTCTCATTCTTGGTATAGAGTTTTGTTTTGTGTAATGTTTTTATTCTGGATCATTTTTAAGATATTTCAAATCTGAGAAGAGATTGTCTCTGCCATTTTTATGGTTTAAATGCCAATCTTTGGTGACTGAAAATAGGATTTGACTTGTAAATGAGGCCAGAGACTGGGCTTCCCAGGACCATAATTTCTGTAAAAGGACCACGGAAAAATGCTGTCAGAACCTTGAAACTTTTAGGGAGCTCAATTTGAAAATAAAGATTTATTAGACTAACTTTTTTAACAAGTTTGAACTGAAATTAACCAATGCAGATTTAGTTTCTGTGTTCCAAGACTTGATAATAAAAATGAATTAAAAAAGAAGGCAGCCTTTTATATATTTCTAACATTTAAGATTAGAAGACTGAATTTATTTACACTAAGCGTCACACTTTAAGAAAACTGATTTTGCTGGAAGAAGTAATTTTCTTAGACCATTTAACATTTACACATGTTAACATTTACCAAATAGTCAGTACGTTAAACTCCCAGATTAATAAACTTGCTGGGTAGTTCTTACAGCACGCACTGTCACGTCTCTGGCGGCCGTAGCCTTTCCAACTTCAGTAGCGTGCGCTAAAGAAAGAAGTCTAATGTGCTCTGTTTTCCTAGGTGGGCAGGTACATTTCAACTAGGAAGTTTGCTTGTATGAGTATGCAATTTGATTGAAGTTACTTTGCATAATATCTAATTAGTGGAAAGTTTGCCAGCCTTTTCTTGGACACTATAGGTAGATAAGTCTATGCTTAAATAAATAAATTTTCATATACACAGTGGAAAAGGATGGAAGGAAAGCACATTGTTAATATTGATTTTCTTAAACTTGAATCCCGAAGGTTATGCTGTGTCAGTAACAATGGAAACCAAGTTCTAAGATCTTGGCACAGTTCTGTTTCCAGCAGGATGTTTTGTGATCATGTGTTTGTGTTTTCCTATATTTGTTAAAGCACTTCATCCTTCCCTGTGAAGCTAGATTAACTGCCTCCTTGTGGGTTTCCCAACACTCTTAATGATAGATTTTAAATTGTGTTTTCTCTGAAACTATTACCGTTTTTAGTCAGATAAATTGTATATATCCAGATGCTGTAAAGAGTTAGAAATACTTCTGTTAACGCTGTTCTCTCTTAGAGTTGCTGTTCCTACTCTGCACATGTGGACCTCCTGCCAGCGGCTCTGACAGTTAGGGTTTCGAGTGTGGGGTTTATTTTATAATTGTTCATTATCTCTTGCTGACACTCCTCTGCCCATGTTAAGTCAGAAGATCGGGTAATAGAAAGCAGTGTTTAACTTCTTTAAAGGCCATGGAACAAGTAACCCAAAGATATAGCGGTGCCTACGTCATTCCAGAACTCGTGACGAGTGCCAGAACCAAGGAGAACCAAACGTTGAGGCATTTCCTCCTGCGGGGCGGCGTTGCGGCTCACGCACGTTCTAGCAAGTGCAGCGAGTCCCGAGGCCCGAGCAAGTGCCGAGTGCTGATATATTTTTTCTTGTCAAAATGGGGCCAGCACAGGGTCTTAAGAGTTCCAAAGCTGATGAGTACCGAGGTGTGACTACCTAGTTTCAGCTGCTCGTCGTTCCTCCCCGCTCTTTCAGCAGAATGCCCGATTTTGCAGATTAAAAATCAACTTAAGTGTTTTATCTAAGATAGAAAAACAATAAACCTATCATTTAATTAAATCTGCTTTTGTATATATGTACCAATATCAGCCTCCTAAGCGTTTGAAGATTGTTTTGAATGTTAGATTATAATAACTGGCAGCTGCTTCTGAGGATTAAAAAAAATCAAAAAATTTTTCTAGTCTACCTGGCTGGCGTAGCTCAGTGGATTGAGCGTGGGCTGCGAACCAAAGCATCGCAGGTTCGATTCCCAGTCAGGGCACATGCCTGGGTTGCAGGCCACAGCCCCCAGCAACCACACATTGACGTTTCTCTCTCTCTTTCTCCCTCCTTTCCCTCTCTAAAAATAAATAAATAAAATCTTTAAAAAAATTTCTAGTCTAAATACTTTTCCTTGTGATTCTTTCCCCTGTAATTTGAATTACTTTCTGTAACTATATTTACATTAGTCTGATATGTTGCTTTTTACTGTCAGAAAGTATATAATTGGTATATTTTATGGCTCAAAATTGCACCTAACACTGATTCATAATTGATGTTTAACTATTTGTTTACATTTTCTAGAATTTTTACATGTGAATTTGACAGCGTGTCATTATTTGCAAATAAAAGCAGTTTTCAGTAGCTTCCTTTTTTTTTTTACTGTGCGATTTGAGATACATTTGAAAATATAAACTGGGGGGGTGGAAATGGGAGGGAGCTGGGGAGCCCTGAGGGGGTGGGCTGGGATGGGAGTAAAAGACAGAAAACTACTTGAACAACAATTAAAATGAAAATATGAATAAAATTATTTTTGTTTCATGTCAAGAAGTGGATGAAAAGAGGCTGCTGGATCCAGGGTTGAAAGTTCGCAAAGGCCTCTGGGATTACACTCTGAAGAATCAGCAGATGGAATGCCTGAGTGACTGAAGAAAATGGGTGCTAATGCATCTAACTATCCTCATTCATGTTCCCCAAGGGTCGGGGGAAATTCTCAAGCCCAACAGACTTTTATAGGTAACTGTTTCAGTTTTTTTTTAACTTTATTTCTTTAGTGGATATAAATAGAATTGTGTTTTCAGTGGTCTTTTTGAATGAAAAGAAGATTGAGCTGTGAAAAAGTTATTACAGATAATAATTCTGTAGCATCCAGGACTTTTTTCCAACAAAATTTACTTTTTTCCAGTAAATTTGTTCTGTTTGTCCTGTTCCTTATATAATATAAAAATGAGTTATTTGAACTTGTGTTTTATAAAAACAAAATCAGGGTTTTTAAAAAATGGTTCAGAAAAAAATGGTTCAGAAATGCCTATAAAAATTTTTAGCATGAAATATGTGTTAAAATGAATGTTGAAAATGAATGTTAAAGAAACATTTTCATTTGTTTATAATTTCCTTCTTAGGGACATCATCCTATTCTCAGCAAGGCTATGGTTGTGAATCAAAATTATATAGCCTTGACCATGGCCATGAGAAACCACAAGACAAAAAAAAGAGAACCTCTGGCCTTGCCACCCTCAAAAAGAAGTTTATTAAGCGTCGAAAATCTAATAGGTCTGCTGATCACGCCAAGCAGATGCGAGAACTCCTGTCTGGGTGGGACGTGAGAGATGTCAATGCATTAGTGGAAGAATATGAGGGAACTTCAGCCTTAAAGGAGCTTTCTCTACAAGCCAGTTTGGCTAGACCAGAAGCTCGGACATTGCAGAAAGATATGGCCGATCTTTATGAGTATAAGTATTGTACTGATGTAGACTTAATATTTCAAGAAACTTGTTTTCCTGTTCATCGTGCCATTCTGGCAGCAAGGTGTCCGTTTTTCAAAACACTGCTTTCTTCCTCACCCGAGTATGGGGCAGAGATCGTAATGGACATCAACACAGCCGGTATAGACATGCCCATGTTTTCTGCTTTGTTACACTACCTTTATACTGGAGAGTTTGGGATGGAGGACTCGAGGTTTCAAAATGTCGATATCCTGGTTCAGCTCAGTGAAGAATTTGGAACACCAAATTCCCTTGATGTAGATATGCGTGGACTTTTTGATTACATGTGTTATTATGATGTTGTCCTTAGTTTTTCTTCAGACTCTGAACTGGTCGAAGCTTTTGGTGGAAATCAGAACTGTTTGGATGAAGAGCTCAAAGCTCACAAGGCTGTTATTTCAGCACGGTCCCCATTTTTTCGAAATTTATTGCAAAGGAGGATACGGACTGGTGAAGAAATCACAGACCGAACTTTGAGGACTCCCACAAGAATTATATTAGATGAGTCCATTATACCAAAAAAATATGCAAAAGTTATATTACACTGTATGTATACCGACGTGGTGGACCTCTCCGTTTTGCACTGCAGCCCTTCCGTGGGGAGCCTCAGTGAAGTTCAGGCTCTCGTCGCGGGGAAACCGAACATGACCAGGGCGGAAGAAGCCATGGAGCTTTACCACATAGCACTGTTCCTGGAATTTAACATGCTGGCACAAGGTAGGAGATCCTGATTTTTAATTTTGCTTTCGAAAGGTACCCATTTGTCTTCCAGAAGGAAAACATAACTAGTACGTTCCCTGATTTCAGTGTTTGGGGTGTGAAAGGGCCAGTTTATTTCAAATGTATAGTTACGACATCTAAGACAGAATTAAGGGCTAGTATTAATGTGTCGCTTCATTTAGTGTTAAAAACAAGCATTCAGAACTAGTGACTAAGAGCAGTACATGAGACTTAAGGCTCTTTCTTTCCTAATGTAAGACGATAGGTGTGGGGATATATAATTACCCAGCTACCACCCACCTACACCCTGTCTGCACCCAAGTTTTGAACAAGCCGTGTTTCTGGATTTCAAGGTTATACTTGATCTAGGACTTGGATAACTTACATTGCCTTATTTACACTTGGTGTCTTATTGATGCTGAAGTGTTTAGAATAAGAATGAAAGTTCTTAACAACAATGAATGTAGTCACAATTGGGTATATTCAAATTTATTGACTCAAAGAATTAGTCAGGGTTTCTGATTTAAATTTTAAAATATTCTGTATCTTTTCAAGCTCAGCTTGTACATAAAGCAGCAGCCTACAGCTTGTATGACATGTAAAGTACAGTTAGTGCTAGACTCATACCTTCATTTAATTTAAGCTAAAATTTCTAAGTTAGGGCAGCACATTTTTATTGTAGCCAAATTAATATATGGACATTACATTAAAATAAATGAATCTGCCCTGGCTGGCGTAGCTCAGTGGATTGAGCGCAGGCTGGGAACCAAAGTGTCACAGGTTCGATTCCCAGTCAGGGTACATTCCTGGGTTGCAGGCCATGACCCCCAGCAACCGCACATTGATGTTTCTCTCTCTCTCTCTATCTCCCTCCCTTCCCTCTCTAAAAATAAATAAATAAAATATTTAAAAATAAAAAAATAAAAAAAATAAATGAATCTGTTGGTAAACATTAGAATCTTAACATTTCATAGCTGAAAGGAGACCTTCCATGGGAGAGCAGAGGGTAATTGCTGTCTTGACAGAGGGCATTCTTAGCTTTCTATGGCCATATATTAAAAGAAAACAGGTCATATGGCATGAAATTACTTGAGAAGTTTAGCTAATGAGTATTTGCTAAAAGAACATTAGAAGTTGCCAATTAGAAGAGAATGTTAATGGTTTCAGTAAAAGACATAAATTTAATAAGGAAAGCTAAGCACATTTTTCTAACTTGAAAATAATGTGTATTGTATGGCAAAATTAACAAATTAATAAGGACTTTGAGAAAGAAAAAAATAAAATGAAGCCCCAGTTAAAGCACATGTCACGAATAAAATGAGAAGAATTATGTAGAAGACATTGATAAACATGAGTGAAAACAGAGATTTCTACTACATGAGGAATTTTTTAAAATCTTATTTCACCATTGTCTTTTTAGTAATGGTACTAATCTTGTTTGTATAGTACAGTAAAAAATGTCATTGAAAGATTTTCCTATTAATCATTATATTAATAATAGTAGACCATTTAGATGTCAGACTATAGGAAAATATGTTATCAAAAATAACCTATCAGCAGCTGTGGCTGGGTAGCTCAGTTGGTTAGAGAATCTTCCCAATATGCCCAGGTTGTGGGTTTGATCCCTGGTCAGGGCACATACAAGAATCAACCAATGAAGGCATTAATAAGTGGGAAAACACATTGATGTTTTTCTCTCTCTCCCTTCCTTTCTCTCTAAAAAAAATCAATAAATAAAAAAATTAAACATTAAAACCAGGGTTTTTAAAAAATAACCTAGGAGCTTGACCTTATTTTTTATTCTGTAAAACCAAAAATTGCTTTTACAGAAAAATTTGATGGTTGCAACATTACCAAAAAGGTATAAATAATAGTTTTATTTTTGACGTGCTTAAAAAATAAGAAACTAAATGGTACTTTATATATTTTACTATTTTAAAAATGGGAAAGCATTTTTTAATATAGATATTTTTGTTGTTAAGTTTTGAAGGAAAAGTAAAATTGTGAGCCAGCTCCTGGATTTTAGGTAATGGTTGATCTAGAGTTCTTTTATAAAAAGTGAGATAATTTTCGTAATCACTCAGCTAGGAATTTTATTATTATTATTATTTTGGGGGCATACACTGAGTAAACAGCTCTGATAATGTGAGAATATACCATGGTTTTATAACTTTTTGAGTAAAAATCCACTCTTTAAAAGAACTATAGTTTTCTCATGAACTTTAACAACCTGATGGGCCTGCCGTAAGAATTTGTTTTCTTGTCACAAAATACTATTGACCTCAAAACAAAATAGCCCAGAAATAGCACCAACATCTACATGCATATTCCATTATAGGACACTTTACAGTAGTACCCTTTAAACTGCAGACTTTATTTTTTCGTGTTAATCAAAAGTAGTTTTCTTGCAGGAAATCAGGGGATGAAGGTGGAAGAGGTTATAAGGGGGATAAATGGTGATGGAAAAACTAATTTTTTTTTAAGTTTTATTTTAATCATTGGAAAAACTAATTTTAAAAAGGAAAGCAAAAGTATAGTTTTCAATCTTTGGAATATGAAATTTATAATTTTAGTTCCAAAATGAACTCTGTAATGCATTGCCCATATTTTCAGTCATAATACAGATGATTATATTGTCTTGAGTTAAAAATCTAACAAACAACTGAAAGCAGTGACCTGATTTTTTTTCCCTGGCAATTTGGCCAGATTCCAAGAATGAGTGACTTGAAACAAAGAGCAAAGACTAGCTGTCCTCACTCACTGCTCAGTTCCTCCGGCTTAACCCTCTGCTCCATTGTTCCCGTGTGGACACTCTTCCTTCTGTCTTAGTCCATTTGTGCTGGCAGTTTGTTTTACTTCTGCCTGTGATTGTTTCCTCTTCAGCAAATTGTCCCGACTGCACTTCCTAGAGAATAATGGAGTTAAGTTAGAGACAATTATCAACAGATCAGAGTAGTAAGTGTAAGTTTCAGTTAAACACGCACTTTAGATGGAGAATTAATGTTTCAGGAATGGCAGTTCAGATGACTCTCAAGTTATCCATCTCAGATCATGAAACTTAGCACTTAATTTTTTTTTTACACAAAATTATGACTCGGGTTGTAAAGTGTAATATTTAATTACATGTTTTATTTTAGAACCTGAACCATTTTTCATACAGATGACAAATGCTCCACCTCTGACCCTCTGCTCATACTTTTCTTCGTCTTGAAATATTTTTGCCTTTGATCTCTAAATGTCCAAATTCTACCCGACCCTTTAAAACCAAACTTACGACTTTCCTTATATTGTTTTAGGCATTCCAAATTAAAGTATTTTTTACTTCCTGCAAACTTCTGAGACACTTATTTTTAGACTTTCACATCTTCTAACCTGTGTTACCTGTCTTACTTCCTCTCTCAATTAGTGTATTATATACTCTGAAGACAAGATCAGAGTTTTTGTCATATTCCAATCACCCTGAGAACCTAATACAGTGTTCTGCTTTTTCAGTTACATATTTTGAATTATCTTTAAAACCTGTGAAAAACATGTAACTTTTCTTCTTTGAAAAAATGGAGGAATGTAATCATTGTTTACATGAGGTTCACAAACACTAAACCTCAATCTAGGGGATAAAATATGAAGTATTACTTATGAAAGTAAGTTTAAATGTGGTCTAAATGGCGTACAACTCTCTACCATTAAACTTGGTTTTAAGTTAAATTTCAAATAAAATTATGTCATCAAGTCTTTACTTTTTTGGTCCACTGATAGGAAATAGAATATCAGTTGGATTTAAAATATTCATTGATGATAACCAAGGATTAATCGAGCAGAAAGAAATAATAAAGAGAAAGAATTCACAGATACGGACAAGTGTGGTGACTGCGGGGTGCGGGGTTGTGGAGGTTGGAAGAGGGTACAGGGGAAATAAATGGCAATGGGAAAACATGTAATACGATAAAAATAAGTAAGAGTTAACCAACAAAAAAGTTTAATCCCAGGTCAATCCTTTTGTAATTTATAATTTAGATTTAAAAACTAATTATGTATCTAAAATTTCAGTAATAAAAATGTGTTTACAGTAATAAAATAAATATAATTTAGAATGTTAAAGTAACTTGGAAATTATTATTCTAAATTAGGCTTTTTTTTTTTACTTTTTTGTCATGTTTAATTTATTAAGGAAATATAGAATTGTAAAGGGTTGTCATTGGTTCTTGTCTGTTGAAAGTAGAGTACGTATTCACCCTTATTTGAAAATTTAAAAGACGGTGAGTGTAAATTAATATTACGGCTTGTTATATGACTTTGTAAATGTCAATGTTTATTAGGCACTTTGTAGCCATAACCAAGAAGTGTTATTTCTAGGTACAGTTCATTTACAGTAAAATCTATGAAATGTTTTCTATTTGTTTTTATTTAACTAGAAACCTTTTCTCAGCAATAAGCAAAACTTTTTCTCTGTGATACTGAAATTCTAAGGATGCCGCAGTAGAGGGAAATGATGAAATAGAAGGAGACTTGTTCTGTTTTATTTTGTTTCCACCCATCCCAAATTGTGTATTTATTGTAGTCAAGGTCTGAGAAATTGGATTTAATTTGAATGTGACAGACATTAATATAACCAGTAAAAGATGAAGTGCTATACTGAGGTAGCATGGATATGAATACAAAACTTTGAACAGCATAGTACCGCTATTCAGAGCACATGAAACTCGAGTCACCGCAAAGAGAGCAGATGACACCTCCGATGGTGCTGCCCGGTGCCACGTGTTCTGAAATAGAGAAAGGCTCGTGCACGTAGGGCATCACACTTCGTCTTGAGTTACTGAGATGTCTGCTTTTTGCTATACTTTGCATGTATCAATATTTACATAATGACTTTCACAGTAAAACAGAATAGTTAATTATATGAATTGATCGAAACTTCTAATGGCAATAAGCCTAAAAAAGGGCACATAGTTCTTTTAAGACCTTAAAAGCTAATTTTTTAAATTTCAGATTAGCCGTGG